ACGTTTAGGGAACACAAAAACAACAACACCAAGAGATCGTAGGCAACACTGTTTGAGCCTCATCCCCGTAGATATCAAACTGAGAACTACCTTGCTTCCTTGCTGAACGTGACAAGTAACGTATTTTTCCTTTTGTTTGGTGTTGCAAGATTTGATGCACACGTGTGCAGGTTCCTTTCTACCTTTTTGTAGACATTTAAATATCCTCAGGGGTTGGTCGAACAAGTGTAGACGATTTATAATATTCATTGTTATAGAAAAAGAAAAAAATCGTTACTTTAGTTTTTTTTTTCTATTCTTGTAGTGCAGTCAAGGCCAAAAGGGATGCCTTGTCTAGCCTTTGGCAGTTTTCGAAGACAATAGAAAAAGTGGCAGTAACAGTAGTAGTGGCCATGATTATTTTTAGTTTTTTCGTAGACAATAGAATTGTAAATTAGTTATGGTTTCCAAATCGAAATTACTTCCAACAAGTGGGTTTTCTAGATGAAATGTAAAAAAAACACGAAATGTAACGTAAAACAAAATTAAAACAATGGGAGATGTGTAACGATTTTTTTCGGGATGTGGAAGAAGAACGTGATTTGAGTATAAATTGTGAATTTTTTTGGGATTTGACCGTTACAAAATCAAGTGTCCTTAAATAAGGTTTGTTTACTAAATGGAAGGAAGGATAAATTCTTTTAGGAAGGTTTCTTATAGAAAAAATCTTCCTCAGAATATTTTTATTACAAAATAAGGTTTCCTCAGGTTGTGAAGAATAGAGAAATGTCTCCTAAGTCAGCTGATTTTTATTATATCAAAAGAAATTCTTCAGGGGCTGAGGTATTTGTTTGAATAGGAAAAAATAATTTCATTCGCCGATATTTTTTGCCAGGAGCAATATTTTTTCCTCTATAAAAATTCTTTCCGGGAGACTGGCGAAAGCTGATGCCACTACGGTTATCCCTCCAGAGGCTAAGGATTTATTACCGAAAAATGTCTTCCTAATCGGCTGAAGATTTTTTTCTGCCACAAAAAAGGCCATAATCAGCGTATCTTTTCTAAGGTACAATATTTTTCTATAGAAAAAGTCTTCCTCAAAAGGTTAGACAGTTTATTTAGAACCTATTTCTTCTCAGGCATTGAGGAATATGTTTCTATAGACAAAATTTCAACCGATAGGTACTTGAAATGAAAATATAGGGAAAACACCAAAAAGTATAACTATATCAACAATTGTACGAAGCGATTGTTGTAAACCCTAATGTAACCAAATACAAATGTTAGCACTTTTTAATGGAATTTTTTCCTAAAATCGCGAAACATGTTGGAACATGTTTATAAAATCAAAAAAAAAAAAAAAAAAATGCAATTTAGAGGTCAAAGTTATATGACGGCATCACCAACGTACACAGGATTTTATTTCGAGGTGGTGTGGATGCTGCTGGTTCAGTATGAAAATGTTTATTGAGTAGAAAATTTTGTAGGGGTACGATCCTGGAGGTATACCTAAAACGAGAGGTGCTATGCTTTATTGAGGACCGATATAGCTCAACTTCGAATTTAAAATTTTTGCATCACAATCACCTTCTTCATGCTAAATATTAAAAATACCGAAAACCGTAGGTATCATTATATGATGGTCTAAATGCCAACCGATATACTTCATTCTCAAACCCGACGTTCTAGTTTTTTTATCTCGATTACAACAGATACATTTTAGAAGTAGATCCATTACAAAATACCAAATTACAGCAAATTTTGTAAAGGAACATGCTCAAAACGCTCAAAATACCGAAAATTGGTGGTACCTTTATAAGGGGGCTACCAGAAAAAGTGGACTTATAAAAACCTACAAGAAACCAATGTACCAAATTTCCGTGAATACCGTTATATGTCGTCTACCAGAAAAAGTGGACCATTTAGTACCTACTAAGAATCCAATGTGTCAAATTTCAGCGAACTCGGTTGAAAATTGGGGGTACCCTTAATATACCCTTCATACTTTGGTGGAGCGTATAAAATGGCCCTCAGAGGGACAATTTTGCTATAGAAAAAAGCTATTTAACCGGGAGAAATTCGTTTTTAAAAACTTATTCAAGACCGAGGGGAATTCTTTTATAGCTATTATTCTCAGATCCTCTGGGAGAATTTTTATACCCTTCACCACACTGTGGTACAGGGTATTATGTCTTTGTGCATATGTTGGTAACACGCAAAAGGAATCGAGATAGATACATGGTTCCTTTTGAGAATATGCATAGAATCACTTTCTGAGTCGATTTATGCATGTCAGTCTGTCCGTCCGCGTAAACAAAGTGCAGGTCGTATTTATTATACGAATTGGATGAAATTTGGAACAAGTCACTTATTTGAAATTGGGAAAAATCGGTTCAGATTTAGATATAACTCCCATATATATTTTCGTCCGATTTAAGGTAGATGGTGTACCAAAGTCCCTTAATATGTTTCGATTTGCACGAAATTTGGTACAGCGTAATGAATTTCATCTAGAATGATGTGTGGTAAGTTTCGTGAAAATCGGTTCAGATATAGATATACCTCCCATATATATTTTCGTTAGATTTTATGTGAATGGTGCACAAAAGTCCTTATATGTCTTTCGATTTGCACGAAATTTAGCATAGTGTACTGAATTGAGTCTAGAATGATATGTGTCAAGATTCGAGGAAGCGGGTCAGATATATCTTCGTCCGATTTACGGTAAATTGTGTACCAAAGTCCCTATATATCTTTCGATTTGCACGAAATTTGGTATAGCGTACTGAATTAAGACTAGAATGATGTGTGCAAAGTTTCGTGAAAAGATCCAGAGCTAGGCCGATTGACACAACGTACTGAAGTAATATAAATTAGTCTCCGGCTAGTTTCCCTGAAATCGGTTCAGATATAAACAAATAACAAAAACACGACGTCTTTTAGGATATATATGTACAATATGCCCAATGTGGTGAAGGGTATCATATAGTCGGCCCAGTCCGACTTTACTACTTTCCTTACTGGTTTATAGATTGGTTTATACATTGATCTAGGGTCGATTTTCCCAAATAATATAGGTTGTTAAAACATTACTCCAGATAAAATCTGGATGAGATTTTATCTGTTTACTTTGAGATAAATTTTAAATAAAAAAATCCTCGGAACCTTGGAAAGATTTTTACCATTGAACTCATTCCTCAATGCCCTTGGGAGACCTTTTTTTAAATACACGTTTTAAGAATTTAAACGAAAACAATTGACCAAAATTAGCCTGGCTTCTTACAGGTCACACCAGAACTCCTTATGAAAAAATAACCACAACAAATCTTTGCCCTCCTCCGCAGCTTAGTAAAGATTGTTTCTCTAGAAGAAAATGTCTAGATTGAAAGGATGTCTATTAAAAGGATGTCTATTTTTTCCTATAAAACAAATTCCTGAGACCTTGAAGGAGATTTCGGTAAGAAAATGCCTCAGACTCTTTGGTGGATTTTTTATACAAGAAACATTTCTCAGCACCTAGGAAAGAGTGGTTTCCATAGAAAAATGTCTCCAAATCTCAAGCAGACTTGTTAGAAATTTTGTTTATAAACATTAAAAGCAACAACAATTGACCACAAAATTTTTCTCGCGTTCTTATCTCTTTGGCACAAGTCACACCACAAAAACTCCTTGACGAAAAATAAAAACAAAAGACCTGCAAGAAATCTCTGCCTGTCTCCAATATAGATCACGCTGCACTTGTTTACATCACTATTTTTGTTGTTTTTGTGTCTTGTTTTGAAAAATCACTGCCCATGCAATGTAGGCGACATTGAAACAAGTGTGACAACAAAACATCGTTTCACGCCATAACCACTTTGGATCACGGACCACAAGGCGTGCCAAGAGCCAGAGACACACACGTTCCCCATTTCTTGGGCAAGCTAGAACCTAGCTCCTCTTTATTGTTGTTGTTGCCATACTGCATTCATTCAGAGTAACCTCAAGGCGTTTGTTTTGATTTGTTTGTCTCCAAATCCCAGAAAAAAAAAATCACAAAATTTATCAGAAATCTTCACTGGGGGTATGGTGGAGCGACAGGTTCTCTCTTCGACAGTTGTTGCTGATGCTGCTACGAAAGAAACCTTATCAAGGTAAGGAGTAAATTAAGTTTTCAAAATGCAATTTTTATATAAACAACAACATATGGCACGAAGTCGATATCAATTTTCATAAACAACCCAAAATCCTGCAAGGCTTCAAGGATAATGGCAAGTCAGCCAACAACAACTATGCTACAACCACAACCATCATTGCCATAATTATGTTGAGCAGTTTATGAAAGAGAGGAGGTGTTTACTTCGAATAAATTTTTCAACGTTCCCACGCTTGCTTGCCTTGCTGGCAAGGTTGTTTACAAATTTTTCGTACGAAAAAAGGACCCAAGGATAATAAGACAAGAAATACAAAAACAACAACAATGCTCTGTGTTCAGATTCTGGGGATGTCTATGATGATGAAGATAATGATTTAAATCCCTAAAGGATCTTTGTGAAGACATGTTCCCTTCTTTTCAGAAAGCAAAACACGAAAAATAACGAAGCATAGCCGGAGTTTCTCACGCTCACAGGTTTGTCTGTCCGTCTGTAAATCTAAATACCTGCTGTTGTTCTCTGATGGAACAAACAAACAGACAAACACGCACACACTCTCTGCAATGCACACAAGTGATCTGGGGCCCTTTAAGATTTATTTCTTAAAAGGGAGTATCAAAGCAGCTGTGTGTGTGTGTGTGTGGGTATGCGTGTACACTTGGGATGCTGAACGTGAGAAATTTTGTAACTGAACACCTGCCCTTTTTCGTGTTGTGTGATTGGCTGAGACGCTCAGAGAGTCTAGCGCATAAGACGCTCTCTCTAAGAGAGGGAGTATAAATAGTTGGGCGATCCAAGACTAGAGCATCATTCGCTCACAAGCATTCAAAGCAAAAACATCTCCAGCACTTTTAGTTCTTTTTTGGATTTTTAAAAACCATCAACACCATGAACACCACCTCCAACATGATGAATCTCAGCAAAATGAACCACTACAACACCAATCAAACCTACACCATTTACAAATCAAAGGTCTCACCATCCCGCCGTCTCAAGAATATGTTGAAGCCCGTTTTGGGTCGCATTTTCAAATCCAAGGCCGCCAAACCCAAGCGCAGCTCCTACATTGCCTCCGAGGAAAAGGAATCTGAATTCGACTGGCTCAACAATGATATGGACAACATGGCCAATGAACATTTGGAAAATCGCCTACTCGAAGAGTTGCAGCACAGTGAAAGCGGTGAGGCAATCGTGGTCATCAATGAAGATGGTAGCCGCCAATTACAATTCGTGGACAAAGAAAATCTCTATGTTCCCGTACACTTTGCCCGCACCAATGCCGGTACTTTCTTCTGGACCTCAGTACAAAAGCAAAACATTGAACCCTATCAAATTGAATGGAATTTCTTGGATCGTTGGGCCCAAGCTTAAGTCAAAAGAAATGTGAAAAATATCGGAATCTATTGGAAAATAGATTTTCTGGAATATTATTGAACATGCAAGAGGATTTGCCCTAAATCCCGCACTAACAAACCGAGCAGCTTCATTAGCTTTTCAACAGCAGCAAAGGATCTGAAAATTTTAATTGGAAGTCACAGTTTGGTTACATCGACTGGTACTCTTCAAAAAGAAAATCTAATCCTGAAAAGTTTCAAATGCAAGCAGCAGACCAACAACAAAGCAGCCGAAGACAACAAATAGCAATCTTTAATTTTTTCAAATATTAAAAAATTCAAAGATATTGCCACCATTTGTTTAAAAGAAAATTAACATTTTTTATTTAAAAAAATTGTTTAAATTTTCAAAATTCAGAAAATAAATTAAAAATTGTTTTTCATAATTTTTTTTTGCAGAAAAAAATTATTGTTAAAAACAATTAGTACTAAGTAACAAAATAAAAAAAAAAAAATAAAAAAACAAAAATACAATTTCTTTTATTTATTGAAATTCAAGGGGATTTTGGGGAAAGGGAATTATTTGGAAACAAATTATAGGGAAAAATAATTATTGGAAGAAACAACGAGAATTAAAAATAAATAAAAATCAGGGTTTTGGCAAGATATTAAAAAAAAATTTAAGAATGAGGGGGTCTTATTGGATTTTTAAAAGTTTTGTTAAACAAACTGGCTTTTTAAGAGAATCACGAATTTCCATTGTAAATATAATTTTTTTTTCAACTAATAAAAAAGTACAATATACAACAACATTATTTTATTTGTGGAAATAATAACAAGTTTCAAAAAAGAGGTCCAATAGTATTTGGGTGATAATGACATTTGAAAGGTATATTTTTTCAAGGACTGAAACCAGCGGGAATTTATTGAACAATTTTTTTTCAATATTGTGGACATATTTAAGTCTGTGTTTTCAATTACTGGTGAAAACGAATTTTTTACACCCTACATAGCTGTTTTGTCAGTGTATTATAGCTTTGTGTAGCCCCAAGAAATAATGATACTAGACCAACCTTTAAGTAGACTAACTGAGCCGATCTAGGTAATACTTTGTATTACGCTAACATTTTTGTAAAATAATTTTAAAATAGTCATTTAAATTTTAACGATCCCGACCTGTGCCAATTGTGCGTTTAATATTCTAACTAAATTTTGTAAAACAATTTCAATTGCAAAACAATGTTAATTATTCTACAGCTTGGGTGCATTCCGCTCGGTTAATTAGCCAACTAAGTCATAATTAGATTGATAAGCACATGTATACAAACTCAAAACCTTTCGGATTCTACTCAGTTAATCAATGACAATGACAAGCCCCATTGAAAGTGGCCTCAGCTTTCTCCGACTCTAGACACAGGGTTCACAGACTTTAAACTTAGCGGTCACAGGCTCTAGCTTCAGCATGTACTGACTCTAGCCTCAGCATCAGCATTCACAGGCCCTATCCTCAGCATTCACAGAATATAGCCTTAGCATTTACAGACTCTAGCATCAGTATTTAGTCACAGACTTTGGTCTCAGCTTTCACTGACTCTAGTCTCAGCATTCACAGACTCCTCCCTCAGCATTCACAGACTCTAGCCTCAGCATTCACAGGCTCTAGCATCACCATTCACAGGGTACTGCCTCAGAATTCTCAGACCCTAACCTCAATCTTCATAGAGTCTTGCCTCAGCATTCGCAGACTTCTGCCTGAGCAGTCACAGTCTAGCCTCAGCATTCACAGACTCTAACCACAGCATTCTAGACTCTACCTTCAGCATTCACAGACTCCTGCCTCAGCATTCACAGACCTTAGCCTCAGCATACACAGACTCTAGTCTCAGCATTCACAGATTCTAGCCTCAGCATTCGCAGACTCTAGCCTTAGCATTCAGAAACTCTAGCATAAACATTCACTGCCTCTAGCCTCAGCATTCACAGACTCTAACCTCAGCATGCACTGACTCTAGCCTCAGCATTCACAGACTCTAACCTCAGCATACACTGACTCTAGCCTCAACATTCACAGGCTCTAGCCTCAGCATACACTGACTCTAGCCTCAACATTCACAGGCTCTAGCCTCAGAATTCACAGACTCATGTCTCAACATTCACTGACTCTAGGATCATCATTCAAAGACTGAAGCCTCAACATTCACAGACTCCTGCCTTAGCATCCAAAGACCCCTGTTACAGCATTCATAGACTCTATCCTCAGCACTCACAGACTCTAGTCTCAGTATTCACAAACATTAGCATCAGCACTCACAGAATCTTGTCTCAGCATCACAGACTCTAGTCTCAGCATTCACAGACTCTAACCACAGCATTCAAGACTCTACCTTCAGCATTCACACACTCCTGCCTCAGCATTCACAGACCTTAGCCTCAGCATACACAGACTCCTCCGTGAGTGCGTCCGTCTGTCCATTATAATTTGTAAGCACGATACAGGTCACAGTTATTTACAATCTTCACGAAATTTTGCAATCCATTTCATGGTCTTAAGTATACCGATCGTCATATCTCGACTAGCTGAGTAAGATCTAGACATGTGTGTCCGTCCGTCTGTCCATTATAATTTATAAGCACGATACAGGCCACAGTTATGGACCACTCTTCACCAAATTTTGCATGCAGGACCGGTTAAGGCCAATGAAGATGAAGATTTAGGGGATGTCGCTCTAGAGGCCACACTTATGACCCTAATATCGTGATTTTATATAGAGAAGGCGATTGGGCCAAAGAATGTATGTTTTGATAAAAATCGCTCAATATTTAGCGGGTCAAATGGACCCTGATTTTTGTGTGAAAAATTACAAAATTTGTATTCTATGGAGTAATACTTCTGAAGGACATAGACCAGAGAAGTTATACTATCAACTTCTCTGGATTTTGGCGAACTATTTCAATTCGATCTAGCTATCTGATTATAACAGACATACGGAAATGTTTAAATCGTCATGGATTTTTTAGCTGATCAAAAAATATATATACCTTATAGGTTCGATGTGCTATAAACGGAAAAATAAACTTAATATATCCTCCATGATGTGGTGGAGGGTATAAATAAGTACGAATGTATCCGGTTATTGACCGTAGGGTTAAGTCGGTTCACACATAAACAAAGATAACATATTTAATTTAGTTCAATTTAATGTCAATGGTACTTCAAATCAAAAATGCGAGATCTGTTAGGATACATTTTTGAATATAGCCAAAGTGATAAAGGGTATCAGTCGGCCCTGTCCGTCATATAGTACTTCCCTTACTGGTTATATTTTACTAATTAACCGCATTTTCACTTGCAATTAAATTTATAAAGACCAATTGATCTGTACAGAGACTGATTGTCTTCTGAGAGACCATAGGTATATGTAAAGACCAATTTGTCTGTGAAGAAAAAAGTGGAGTTTAATATTTTAACATGTGGTACGAACCTTTAGTGGTAAGGGTAGTATATCTATACATTATTCTAGAAGAACTCAGACCTTTGGAACTTATACTAGGCTCGAGATGAATACTTTCAGAATATCTGCAACATTTTGAGAACATTCATGTCTATTTATAGAAAACCTTTAAAAGAAAATTTAAGCTCCTTTTATCATTCCCTATTCGGAGTCATAGACCCTTAGAAAACTTTAATGGTAGTCTTGAAAAATCATATACCAATTCACATTTAAAATTTTATTTTCTTGTTGTTGTTTTTGTCAAGTAAGCTATTTATCCAATATTCCCAATACACTATGAATTGCAAGACATTTTCCGTCACAAGTATCTACTTTAATATTTATTTTCTTTTTCCATAATATATTATTTTTTTTAAACTAGACTACTTAAAATTATCTTGAAACAAAATATGTGTTGTTATGATTGACGGAAATTAATCCCCTTTTGACGCCAAAGCAAAGCGGTGTGTGATTTGCCTTTTGAGTTCAGTAGTGACAAGAAGCTGTTTACCTAAACACCCGAAATAACAGCTAGCAGTGGTAGTAGCTAACCTTAGGTAATAATCACTAACTAATGAACGTGGTTTACGAATAGTTGGTATAGGGAAATTCCGTACTGACGTCATTAAGAAGTAGCACTGCGATAAATAGACAGGAATTACTGAAGAAGAAAACAAAGAAAGGAAAAAATGTGAAACAAATATAAATGGCCAGTGAAAGATTGGCTACCGTTTTGAAATGCCGACAAATAGGTAGCACCAAAAAAATTTTTTTTCTGAAAAATTGGGTAATGTTGGCAGTAGGTCTGTTACATATTTTAACTATATATCTGTAAAATGTGTTAAATTTGTGCGAGACCTTCAGAAAATATTCCATAATTTGAAGTTCCCTTCAAGAAGAATTTCTATCCATACAAGACCTTCAGAGGGTTCTCCGACAAAATTTTGTACCCAAAATTTTTCTCATATTTTTGTGAAGATAAGATTTTGTTGAAATCATCACGATCGTTGCCTGTTTTTTGGAATTAAAATAATGACTGACAGAAATGCTGATAAGAGATATTTGTGGAAACGGCAATCGATTGGATTTTACTTAAACTATAGATAAATTTAAAGAATTATTAGATTTACACAAAACTCTATAATAATCAGGTCTGTAGGGATTTATGTTTCCATAGACTGAAATAAATATATGTATTTGTTACTCTAGACTAGACAATTCAAATTAGGTTGTCGAATGTAATTGTCTAAAATTTCATAACACTCAAAGACAATCTAGGCTGACAGCAAAAAAAAAAAAAGAAAACAAATGCTGCCACAGATATTTGACAAAAATTGTGCTGATATATTTTCCAAGGACATGCCTCGTGTCTGTGTTACAATAATTTCCTATTGGCGACATAAATTTGTTGCAGGCATTCAGAATAATAGTCGCCGTAATTAATGAGCCGTACTGCCTAATTTCTATCCCTTCTTTGGGTGAAAATTATTTCCATATTCAGCCAATTAATAGCTGGCGTCAAAAGGGATTAATTTTTGCCAGCTCA